ATGCCGATGTGTTTTTCTATGCGCACGCAAAGCAAGCGCGTTGACAGACACGCATCGCACGCGTGTTGAATCTCACGCAACTCTCGTGTGAGCAACACGCACTCGATGCAAGCGGGTTGTAGATAACGCAACGCAAGCATGTCTACGTACACGCAATGCAAGAGTGTTGAAACGCTAGCGTGTTGATAAGTTCGTACCCATGCACAATGCGCACGCAGCGCCACAACTAAAGGCAGGGGCTAGTCGCGCTCGCGCTATAAGAACTCAGGCCAGCTACTGAGCAGGGTAAGCCAATGGTGACCTGGCCAGCCGCTGATTTCGTCTGTCATTTGACCCTTATATTTTTTCGCATGAAACTACCCTAAATAGCTCCTACTGAGCGGCTAATTATGAGATGCGGCCATTTCACATCTGAATCATCTCTAATCCGAGACTGACAACCGAAACCAGACCGTCTGCCGCGGCTAAATTTTGACAGGGTAATTGGCTTGGTTACAGGTCTGTTATTCTTTCTTTTTAAAAATTTCACTGCTGTCCCCTTTGAAACCTAATGGACATCACAATGCATGATATGAAAAAATGCCGTGTTGTGATGCACAAACTGCCTGATGATGCAGTCAAGAGGGGCTGGTGGTCTGGACTGAACCTTCCTCAAGTACCTGTTGCTGTGTGCAAAGTTGAGTCTGATGGTAAGCTGCACATTTAAAGTTGCCTCAATTATTCACAATTATGTTTTAAATACTGTACTGAAATAATATGATGATGTTTGTCAAATTGGAGCTGTCAGTTACATGAATGTCACTCTGAATTGTGTATACTGTGAATTAATTGTAAGCCCCATGTACTGGATATATATTTTTAACGTGTATATTTTAATATCTATTGGATATAGTATATCTTTAGCATATAAATCTTTGTCTTGGATTTATATCTTTATCATATATAGATATCTTTAACATTTTATCGTGTTATATAATTCAAATTATATACAGCCACAGACGCCAGTGGCTCATCTATGCTACCAGATATGGTTGCAGCTAACATCAAGCTTGAGCCTGTGGATAAAGAGGAGGCTTTATCTGTGAAGGATGAACCTGTTGATGTTGATGAATATCAGGTAAAATTGGCCTATTAATTCCCCCCCCCCACTGACTTAATTCAACTGCAGTTGAAGAAGGTCCATATCTTGGGAAGCTGTGCTCCGGCAGTGTAAAATATTTAGGCCAAACCATATACCGTATTTGCATTTATAAGAGTGCAATCGTATGTGTAATATAATCATTGCAACTATATTACTTGAATATATGAGATGATAATGTTAGGTCTTGTATAGGTTTTATGTCTATCTTAGAATTTTGATATAATATGATTTTATTCATTTTTAGTTTTTCGAACTGATGATGGAGCTGGACTCAGAAAAGTTTTCAATATCGATATTTTGAATTTGCTTGGTGTTTTCTTTGCTTTTAAATTCCTTGTGAACTTGCGATATAAGCAGACTGATAATATAAGTACTTATTTGGGTTATGTTTTAATTTGTTGATGAAGTCTCTGTTCATGATTGTTTCATTTGGCCAGCAAACTCCACCTTCCTCATCTTGTGTGCCATGCAAGGAGGAAGCTCAAGTTGAGGCTCGGGACGCCCACCGATGTTCCTCACAGGACGCTGCGGCTGTGCCTGAGGAACAGGTTGGTGGTTTGGTAGTTAGAATAATTTGATCAGTCTAAATTGAAGTGATAATCTGTCAACTTGATATATGGGAAATAGATTAATCATGCTATTTTGAATACATGTTAAATGCAACTGTTTAAAATTGTAGAAATGGTGTTGAAAAATAGAATTTTTGAGACTCATTTCTTGTTTATTAATTAGTTTTCTTATGTTTAGACTGTTTAAAATTAAAGTGCTAATCCGTCAACGTGATACATGGGAAATAAATTTTTCATACTATCTTGGATATCTGTTCAAAGCAAATGTATAAAATTATGGAAATGGTGTTGAAAAATTCCGAATTTTCAAGAATTATTCCTTGGTTATTACTTAGTTTTCTTATTGCTGATGATCAAGAATAGTACATTAAAAATTTTGTCAGTGGTTTATCAGAGACTGCTGGCCTCTTTATCTTTTTCTCAAGTCCCATTAGTACTAGGAAATAGATTTCTGTAGTAATTAAATTTTATAGAGGATCTATTTTCTTCTTTGGAAGATCCTAGTTATGTCTTGTAAAAGCTAAGCCTAGGAAAAAGGCCTATATTTATACCAGCAACATTTAAAATATCTCAAGTATGTATAAAAGTCTATTTGTTCAAATTCAACCCATGGAACTTACAAAAAAATAAGTAATACCTGCTGAGGAGATGTTACACAATGCTTGAAAATATTCCTGGATGGCTTTCTTACCTGATCAAAATCAGCTTCTGGTCAGAATCTCCTGTCTGATCATTAAGAGGCATGAGTGTGTAACAAGAGTTTTCTGAAGCTTGCACAGTATGGACGTATAACATTTGATTTATGTGCCCCTCAACTACCAGGCATCACTTGTTGCAGAGTTAGATCCGCATCAAAATTGTTAAGTTATTTTATACGTTATCTTAACCTGTCCACCATTCTCACCAAAATCATGTATGAAAAGTTGTGTTGCCAACATTTTTGCTGCATATACTTCATGGCAGCTTAACTTGTACTGTAGAACTGGGGTCATACGTTCAAAACTCGCTAAGTGAACGAAGTACTGAACACATACACCCAATACCAACGTGGGTCATTCCATGCCAAGTGGTCTAACCCTTCCCATCATCATGTCACCAATTTTTTTTCAAATTTTAACTGTAGCACTAGTGAAGTCCTAACTAAGTTTTCCAAAATATTAGGCCTCTAGCTGCAATAGTTGCTGATCTAGAGCCCCTTGTCTGAAGGGTAGTCAGGCCACATGCGTGCACCATTGGACAAAATGCCATTTTTTGAGGTCCAATAAAATTGAAACTAATTTATAAAAATGGCTAGTATAATGAGATCCTGGACAGTTTTTGGTGCTGATTCCGATGAAATTACTTTTAACATTACTGATGCAAAATTCAGCCAAACAAGTTGACTCAAAATGTGCCTCAAAAATTGTTTTGACTCAACGCAAAAAATTTTGACCAATATTATTTATACTGCAACAATTTCCTTACAGATCAAGATATGGACTTGAACTTTTGAACAAGCTTTATACTAGTGCTGGACATAATATAGCCAGATTTTCAGCTTCCCAGACCCTATAGCTGTCAAGCAGGATCTCTTCAAATTTGTCAAGGTCAGCACAAATGGTCAAATTTACCAAAGTTCAAAGCCAGTTGCTAAAAAATAGTCAGCCCAAATCTGCTTGTGCATAGTAGCATCTAAAAGAGAAAATCTTGCTCTACAAGACTTATGTATTCTTTTTATGCAATGCCACCATTAAGGAATTATTTACTCAGGTCAAAATATGTTATTTTTTGTATACACGATATGCTAATTTTTATTCATTTCCAGGAATTTAAATCTTAATAGTCACATATAATTACTGATAAAGTTTTATTTTTATTCATATATTATTCATTGATTGGGCAATCGTTTATTGTGCATTGTTATCAATTTGATTTTGCCACCATACGTGAATATTATAGCTTCTTAAATAAAATTTAATAAAAAGTATTTACCAGCTGTTTACCATTCAATTAAAGGTGTCAGAAGTTAACAAGGAAGAAGAATTAGCCCCTTGTTCAGTTGGGAAACATGCTGCTGCATCAAAGTGCCATGTTATCTTCTATGCTAAGACTGGATTCAGAAATTACTTGTTTCATGTTCAAAAGCAAAACTTGACCAAAATTCTATCATTTGCTTCCACCATGAAGCCATTTTACTAACTGAAAATCAATTCCTGCCAGGGTTGGTGATTTATTTTATTAAAAAAAATCAACAAAATAAAAAATCAATGATTTTTTCGTGATTTTTTTTATTTGTTTGATTTTTTTCAACTTTTTTGTATTTTTGAAAAGTTATTTTTTAAGTTGCAATTAGCCTACTAACAAAGCAGTATATGGATCATAATGGATGGCTAAAAATGTCACTTATTACCTTCAATAATGGCCAATAGGCCAAGGTGGTATTTACCACTGTGTGATTTTTGGGTAAACAATTATTAATAAGTCTATTTATTAGCTTTGTAAAGTTTGTATGGAGCAAGGTACCAAGCTAAATATTGACCATTTAACTGGTTTCAATCTACAAAAACACTTCAGGAATGCGGATCTTCTAAACATTGAAGAGTCACATAACAGATAGGTAGCTGATAGCACAGTGCACAACACTATCAATAGATCTACCAGTTTAATGTCATATAAATGTACCAGACTCTACCCTTTATACACACTGACTAGTATAATGACTGAGTGACTGACTGCACTGTTCACATTTAATTCAGACCAATAAACCAATAATAAACCTAAACTGAACGATAACCTAACAAACTTCAAACAACTTTAAACAATACTGATGTTATGAGAAAAGCTAACACTTTGAAATAAACATGTGCACAATTCAAACATTTTATTTCCATTCACTGCATTTAGTTATATATAGTTTTATAAATGTAACTGTTTTGTTTCTAGTTTTAAATTCACGTATTTAAGGATTGAAATTAAATATTTTAATTAGAATTACTAGTATTAGGGTGGAAAATCTTTCTAATTGCCTAAAATGTCAATACAATCTCAACCAACCCTTCTTATATAAGCTAGCAAACACATGTAAATTGTATAATGTGATTAATCTATAATAGTCAAATAGTTGAAGACTACTTATAGCCTTATAAGAATTAGCTAAGCTGCTAGCTATGTTATATGTACAATGTATTGCAACACTTGATGCCTCTGTACCAAAAACATACAATTCATTGGAACATAATACACACTAAGACTAAAGGCAATAGGTTTATATTCTAATTTTTCATAGTACATTTATACTATACCATGAATAACAATACTTCAAAATAAATTGAAGACTGCCACTCAATATATTTAAATGTATAAAAAAATTGAAAAAAAAAATAAAAAAATTGAAAAAATCAAGATTTTTTTATAAAAAATCTAGTGATTTAATCACATGATTTAATCAGTTTGATTTAATCAATGCCAACCCTGATTATAAGTGACTATTTAAATTTAAATTCCTGGAAATGAATCAAAATTAGCATATCGCATATACAAAAAATAACATATTTTGACCTGAGTAAATAAATACTTAATGGTTGCGTTGCGAAAAAAGAATACATAAGTCTTGTAGAGCAAGATTTTCTCTTTTAGATGCTACTATGCACAAGCAGATTTGGGCTGACTATTTTTTAGCAACTGGCTTTGAACTTTGGTAAATTTGACCATTTGTGCTGACACTGACAAATTTGAAGAGATCCTGCAGGACAGCTATAGCGTCTGGGAAGCTGAAAATCTTGCTATATTATGTCCAGCACTAGTATAAAGCTTGTTCAAAAGTTCAAGTCCATATCTTGATCTGCAAGGAAATTGTTGCAGTATAAATATTGGTCAAAATTTTTTGCGTTGAGTCAAAACAATTTTTGAGGCACATTTTGAGTCAACTTGTTTGGCTGAATTTTGCATCAGTAATGTTAAAAGTCCTTTATCAGAATCAGCACCAATAACTGTACAGGATCTCATTATACCAGCCATTTTTATAAATTAGTTTCAATTTTATTGGACCCCAAAAATGGCATTTTGTCCAATGGTGCGCGCATGTGGCCTGACTACCCTTCAGACAAGGGGCTCTAGATCAGCAACTATTGCAGCTAGAGGCCTAATATTTTGGAAAACTTAGTTAGGACTTCACTAGTGCTACAGTTAAAATTTGAAAAAATTGGTGACATGATGGTGGGAAGGGTTAGACCACTTGGCATGGAATGACCCACGTATCAACACCAAATTTGGACCCTCTGTCAAGTGCTGGTACTGTAGAACAAAAGCTATGAACCAAGGCTTCATAATGAGTCTGCTCAGTATATACTTGCCATTAAGGACTTTCTATCAAGCCAATTATTACCTGGTACCATGCAAGCCTGATGAGTTTAGAGTGTTGGATGCAGTACACAGACTGATATTAAGTGTTGATGTTGTATTTCAGCATATATGGGTGGTTTGGTAGTCAGAATAATTTGATCAGTCTAAATTGAAGTGATAATCTGTCGATGTTATATATGGAAAATAGATTATTCCATGTTATTTTGAATAACTGTTGAATGAGCACTGGGTGTTCAGGTATTTTGACTATCACTGGAAATAATCAGTGAAATACCTCAGAAATCATTAAAATATATTTTAGTATAGCAGTGTAGCAATTTATCAACTTTATCAGCAATTACAGTCGTAATTCTCCAAGATATTGATTCATAAAAATTTTTAATAACTAATGTGTGACAAGCCTGCACCTGCCCACAAGGCAGCACCATTTTTTTGTGCCAAACCACATTTCTGAGTCACAAACAATTTGGTCATTGCAAAATTTGGAAAGGCATGCATTTTTATTAAGTTATAGTCACAAAAATTTTCTAAAAATATCCATATTAGAATAAAATATAAATTAGCAGCAATAATGAACTATAAACATTGAAATGTGTTACCCCATACCTGCCACACCCCATACCTGCCACACCCCATACCTGCCACACCCCATACCTGCCACACCCCATACCTGCCACACCCCATACCTGCCACACCCCATACCTGCCACACCCCATATCTGCCACACCCCATACCAACGTATCAACACCAAATTTGGACCCTCTGTCAATTGAACTCTCTGCCCCTATGCAGTGTGGCAAATCGGACCAGCCTGTTGCCATCACCAATGAAGGGCCTGTCAACGTATCAGCACCAAATATGGATTCTGCGTCAAGTTTTCCTAATTCAGAGATTATGCACAAAGTAAATGCTGCAACAGCGCACGAAGAATGCACGTCTCAGAATACGTTCAAGTCTGTGAATATTGCTGAACCTATGAAACAGGAAGCTTTTGAAGTGCATCCCTGTTCCCCGACTAATTTCGAATTTCAAGCCACAGAGCTAATTGTCATCACCCTGAGCAGAGGCACATCAAATCGTTTTTCTGATACAGAAATTTCTTATTCTGACCAAATGGAAATCTGTTCCATCGAACCTCGTACTACTCTGCATGCAGAAAATACTGACAGAGAGAGCATTGATGAAGAAGATGTGAAGACCAGCATAAAGATAGAGTCTGGTATTACTTTAGCACATTATGATCCCAATCAATTAGCAATTGCTGAAAATTCGGTTATTACCGTTGATGAGCAAAGTGTAAAAGCAGCACCCAAAAAACCAAAGCAGCACAAGCGCCCTAAGAGGCCGTGTCCTTTTTGCCAGAAAAAAGTTCATCAATTACCGCGGCATTTGAAGATGGTCCATCGAGATGAGCCGGAAATTCAGCATCTCAATGTTTATTCTCATGAGAAGAAGATCCGTTATTTAACTCAGTTACGTAAGCGAGGGATATTTCAGCATAATAAAAAAATGGCTTCACTTGGGAGCACTGATTTTATCTGCGAACAATCTTCTTCTGGAGCAAGTCGGCCTCAGCTCTGTATTTCTTGTAAAGGGTTCTATAACCGAAAATCTATTGCAAGACATAAGTGCACCAGCGTGGTTGTCAAGCCTAAAAAATCAATTATTCTCCCTGGAATGGATGGTGAGCTTGCACAAGCGTTTTTGAAGAGTGTTGTAACTTTAATTCGAGACGATGAAATAGGTATGATTGCAAAAAACGACCATTTAATTCTGTCTTTAGGACTTGAGTATTACAAAGAGCGTTATACGCAAGAAAAAGAACTGGAGTCCTGCTTGAAGATTCGTTCATACATTCGAAATTTGGCAAAAATAGTAATGGAAACGAAACGCCTTTCTGAGTGTAAAGGTGAAGTTCTGGAAACAAAAGATGTTTTTAAGAATACTAATATTGATATCCTAGAATCTGCAATTCACAATTTAGTGACTGAAGATGGTAACGTGAAGCACGGAATGAAAGTCATCCTTGGTTACGACTTGAACCGTGCCATTCAGGATCTTTTGGGGCTTTGCCACATGACTGATGACGATGAAATGTTTACACAGCTTCAGAAATTCCAAAATTGCTTCAAACTGAGATGGAGAACGGTTTTTCTGAACTCTGAGCGAGAGTGCAAGAGAAGACGTTTTGAAACTTTCCGACGGCAACAAAATACTGACCGAGAGAGCATTGATGAAAAGGATATGAAGACCAGCATAAAGATACAGTCTGGTATTACTGTAGCACATTCGGATCCCAATAAATTAGCAATTGCTGAAAATTCGGTTATTCCTTTGGATGAGCACTGTTTAAAAGCAGAACCCAAAAAACCAAAGCAGCACAAGCGCCCTAAGAGGCCGTGTCCTTTTTGCCAGAAGAAAGTTCATCAATTGCCGCGGCATTTGAAGATAGTGCATAGAAATGAGCCGGAAATTCAGCATCTCAATGTTTATTCTCCTGAGAAGAAGATCCGTTATTTAACTCAGTTACGTAAGCGAGGGATATTTCAGCATAATAAAAAAATAGCTACAGCTGGGCGCACTGACTTTATCTGCGAACAATCTTCTTCTGGAACAAGTCGGCCTCAGTTCTGTACTTCTTGTAAAGGGTTCTATAACCGAAAATCTATTGCAAGACACAAGTGCACCAGCATAGTTGGCAAGCCTAAAAAATCAATTATTCTCCCTGGAATGGATGGTGAGCTTGCACAAGAGTTTTTAAAGAGTGTTGTAACTGCGATTCGAGACGATGAAATAGGTTTGATTGTAAAAAACGACCAAACAATTCTGTCTTTAGGACTTGAGTATTACAAAGAGCGTTATACGCAAGAAAAAGAAATTGAATCCTGCTTGAAGATTCGTTCATACATGCGAAATTTGGCAAAAATAGTAATGGAAACGAAACGCCTTTCTGAGTGTAAAGGTGAAGTCCTGGAAACAAAAGATGTTTTTAAGAAAACTAATCTTTGTGTCCTAGAATCTGCAATCCACAATTTAGTGACTGAAGATGGTAACGTGAAGCACGGAATGAAAGTCATCCTTGGTTACGACTTGAACCGTGCCATCCAGGATCTTTTGGGGCTTTACTGCATGGCTGATGACGATGAAATGTTTACTCAGCTTCAGAAATTCCAAAATTGCTTCAAACTGAGATGGAGAACGGTTTTTCTGAACTCTGAGCGAGAGTGCAAGAGAAGACGTTTTAAAACTCTCCGACGGCCAGAAAACCAGATCAGCAAGGAAACGCTACAGAAACTTCGTAATTTTGCTATCCAAAAAATAAGAACTTATCAGCAAAGTGGCTTTCCATTTTATAAGTTTGTCGATATAAGAAATGCTGTATTCACCAGTCTTGTTTTGTACAACGCGGGACGTTCAAACGAAATTAGTCGAATGAAAGTTTCACACGTAAAAGACGCTTTGAGTGGCAAATGGCTGCCGCAAGGATGCGCAACTGACAAGCATTTTGTTTGTTATGTTCCGGGGAAACACACTACTAAGCCGGTCAGCCTTTTATTGCCCGTTCAATTGAAAGAGGCGCTTGTATTCCTCACAAGTGAAATCCCCCGGAACGTGGCAGGCATCGCTGAAGAGAACCTTTTCTGTTTTCCGTCATTACACAACTCTTTAGCACACGTGCAAGGAACTAATATACTTGCTAGATACTCCAATGAAGCAGGCACTAAGATCACCGGAACGCAAATACGACACTGCCTTGCGAATGTTTTCGCCAGCGAAGAAACCAACAGCGACAAATCTTTGTGGCGGAGACACATGGGTCGCTCTGAGACCATCAACAAAATGGACTATAAATGCCCACGTGATGGGGACACCGCTAAACATGTCAGCGGCTTTCTGCAGAATGAGGATCGAGCACTCAGCGGTAATTATTCTTAATTTATCCTTTTTTGACTATACTAAATAATATGTAATAATTTCATTACAGGGTTAATGTTATATTAGGATGATTAATCACAGGCTGTATTTTAACCTTTCTTTCTATTAGTGCTGGCAATGCTGCTATAATGAACAAATAAGTGGCTCAGAATTTCCAACTTTTCTGTTACCACTTGCATGCATTCACAGTTCTACATTTAATTCGATAACTTGTTATGTGGTATGTTTCAGGTAACTTTGGTCGCACGGCAGCTGTATCTCCAATGTCTCCGAGGTAGTAAAAATGTGCAGTAGTGTGATTTGCTTTGATTTTACCATTTTTGGTATTGATATATTTGCTGCTGAATAAGCAGTTTTTTATTGTTGTCAGTTCCATGTATTTAGTAGACGGCAGAACAGGCATACAGGCTCAGTGGCATTACAAGTTTCTTACACAAGTACATTCTGGTCGAAATAGAATCCTTTTCTTTTACCTGTTTACAATATTATATGTTTCAAAGTTTCGTCTAATTCTTACCTTCATAGTTGTGTGCTCATGAACAACTAATGCATTTGAACTCCAGCAGATGCCTTCATTTCTTACCTTGTTACGAGTGTTCTCAATTTCCATATTTTATGCGAGTTCAATGAGAAATAGTTGGTTGCTGAGTGCTGTCATTGACTACATTAAATGAGGGAGTTTTATCATTGCATGTATCACTGTTACTCAGAATTAATGGTGATGTGAATAATACTCTCCTCTCGAATTGGCTTTTGCTGCCTTCTTTTAACGCTTCAAGTCTTGTATAATTATTTTAGATTTAATATAAGTGATTTGCCCTGCTCAATTCTTCTACTTCATTTTTGACTATCTAATAACTTTAAATCCAGGAGGCAATTAAAAATTGTCTAGATTCCTAAACCTCCCTCTTAAAAGAATTAATTGGACTCGTAAATTTGATCATGAATTTATAATCGTTTTGATAATGATTATTTACTAAAATTGTGCTTATATTATTCATTACTTTAATATAGTGCATGACATTTATCTTGTATTTTGTTCTTCTTTCAGGTGCACCACTTCTGACGCATTCATTGAAACATTTATTGAGAACTCGGATTCTTGCGACGAACCTGCAAGTCAGTAATTGTCCTTAGCTAAAGGCATTCGATTGCACTCATGCATTCGTTAATATTAATATTGTTCTAATCATCATTTAAAGCACAACTTCCTGCTTCTCACCCTTTAATGTTGTTGCCTGCTTATCAAGTTTGTTATTGTATGCAAATGTTGAAAAATTTGAACTGATGACATCAGTATTTATAATGTTTGAACCCAATACTTTTTAGCGCATTTTCTCATTTATGGAAAAAATGCACTATAGTGCTCGCCATGTCCGTCTATCTGTCTGTCCGTGACCTCAAGTTTTCGTCGACGAGAAAATGCGCTCTCTGTCACTCACTGCAGTGAGTACTGAGTTATATTTTTTGATCTTCTGAAGGACTGGTAATTCAAGAGTCGCGTCGTCCGTCACAAGACGCGCGCTGTGCGTCATCAGATGCAAGGCAAAATCAAGAGACACGTCGTAAGATACAAGATAACGAAAAACTTGGAGAGAAGCGTAGTACGATGAGGTCAGTTCCTATCTTCATCCTTTATTATTGCTAAAGTAAGACTTGAAACAATCCATTAAGAAGTTGATCACCTTCATTTTATATTTACCTACCACTAATTTGCATATCATACTGTATGTTGACGAATACTCATTTATCAAATGTATTTTTCAACAGTTTGCAATTCGAAAACTTGGGGGAGTCCAGCAAGCATGCAGATTCTACCTCAGACTGGAAACCAGCTGGGGTCTCTAGTGATGACGAATGCTATCCAGAACCCGTTGTGAGTAACTTAGTGATGATGAATGCTATCCAGAACCTGTTGTGAGTAACTTAGTGATGATGAATGCTATCCAGAACCTGTTGTGAGTAACTTAGTGATGATGAATGCTATCCAGAACCTGTTGTGAGTAACTTAGTGATGATGAATGCTATCCAGAACTCTTTGTGAGTAACTTAGTGATGACGAATGCTATCCAGAACCTTTTGTAAGTAACTAACTTTTGTAGCCTCACAAACTTCTATATTGGCAGTCAAATATTTATAAACCACATCCGCAGTGTCTGAAATAGTCCGTAAGGTATATATTACCTAGACGTACTTTATATTTTTTACCTTTGCAAAGGATTAACTTGAAATTTTAAAGCTCCAGGACTAGTTATCAATAATTTGTTCAATCCTTTATATTCAATGTCCTTTGTTTGTTAGTCATCAGTTTTGACTTTAGAAAGTGATTGAACTCTTACGTAGTCACAAAAAAATTAAATATGTTCAACAGCCGTTTGGGCCTCATCTTTTCATTTCATTCATTCATTAGAATAATATTAATGAATTGCATTTAAAACCATTGTTATTATTGTGAGCTTTTCAACTACATTTTTCAATCACTGTTGTGTTTGCCTTCGAGATATATTTGTCTTTATTTCTATGAAAACTTTTTCTTACTTCGTGTTAATACTTCTTGCTGGACATCATATGCGGAGTTACGATTGAGACCTTGCGGAAGTTGGTAGATGATTTTTTACAAAATATTTGTTTTTAGGGGAAGTTCAAACAAGATAACACCTAAGGCAAGATATTTATTAGGAGGCACTACTGCTCCTTTCAAAACCTTAATATCACTGGAATTTGATATTCACAGGTTGGCGTTATTTCAAATGGGGTGAAAACGATACCCGAATCATCTTAGTATTTTGAAAAATACTTTACGAGAGATGGAGTTGAGTTTGAGGATCGCTACCTGGTAAGTCCGGTTGTGTTCCATTTTTCTTCCTGGCGCCCATGCATTCATTAAATGTTAATGTTTTCTGCTGATAATTTCACATTTAAACTAGGTATATAAGGGGAGCGTCTGGCCAAAAATTTTTGATTTTGGCTTTTCGGTTTTTAGTCTCCTTGAAGCTGTCATTCTGACCCATCCCACGGAACCAAAACCATCTCTGTACGTTGATTTATGCCTCACGACAGATCACGATACGGTTAGGGGTGGTGGAGTTCCTAAACATTTAAGATAGGGAATAGTGTCGGTAGTGCACCTTAAATAGCCAGTCTGGAGACACTAGGCTTCACTAACCCGGCTGTAGTCGTGAGGGATGGTTCTTGTATCGTCTATTCTTGCAACCTTGAATGCCTACATATATCGAGGCGCGCGGGACTTATAGTCGCGCTCCACTGAACCCTAACACTTATTGTCACTGCAAACCTGTCTCCTCCTACAATTTTGAAGCTATAGCAATGAAAGATATACCGTTCGCTTCGCAAATAAAAGATCTAGAGAAAGGTCAGATTTTTGTCAATTACGTTATAGTTTTGAAAATATTTTGAAAAAAGGGGGGGGGAATAGTGGGAAATGGAAGAATTTATGAAAAATGCTCCCCCGCCCACAAAAATTCGAATTTCGAAAAAATCTCTGATGAATCTATAGATCTGATGAATCTTGAAAATCCTTGGAGGAGATAGTTTTCTATATTACCCTTCTTTTTGGCCGTTTTCTAAGAATTTCACGTTTTCTTTCATTTTTCTCGAAGAACTGACATGAATGAAAGCTGTCTATTTTTCAGTTTTACACATGTGTACCATGTTTCAAAGTAAATCGTCTGTAAATAGCCGAGGTAAAATTTTGGCCAGACGCTCCCCATAACGCGATAAAACAGGGTTCAGCCACTAAGCCTGCTGACATGGCTTTGGAAATAATTAATAATTGTTACATTGGAAGGTGACATGACAGAAAATGTATTGATGTCTCATTGTGGCCTACTTGACATATATACAAAATTATCTCTTTGAAAAATTATTTGTTAATGAGGTAACACAATTTCACCAAATAAATCATTGCATACCGTTTAGAATTTATTGGTTACCATAAACCTCGTACAATTGTGTTTGCAAGAACCGTCAAAATCGAATCTTTCCTCAAAAGTCACACGCTCACTACATTAATGCCGTTCCCAAAGCAGAAGCAAATATTGTATATTGTATCTCCGCACCAAGTTGTTTTACACCATGAAAACATGTCGACTGCAAACACAGAACTTTATAAGAAGGTAATACCATGCACGTTGCAAATTAATTAGGCCCATATATAAAATACTGCATGGAATAATTTACCGGCAATAATAAGTCATTGGCTTATTATTTTATTTCAAAACTTGCCAAAAATTGATCTGTATAGATTTAAAATTTAAATCTGCATCTTTATTATTAACTCAAGATGCAGTCCTCCCCATGTTCCATCATGTTCCCCCATCTACAGTTCTCTATCTTCCTCATATCTCCCCCCTCCATCTTCCTCACATCCCCCCTCCATGTTCTTCCATCTCCGGTCTATCATACATCTAAATCATGTTCATGCAGCTTTATCAATCACATTAGATTAATTACGCTGCTCGTGACATTTTCAGTACACGGGACCCAGCAACTCTGGCGGGAGATGTCACTCCAGCAAGTCTCAATCCGCGAGGTTCTGCATTACAAAGCCGTTTCTCAGGAATTCTAGTAGCATAAATGTTAAGACTGTTTAATGGTTATAATAATTGTGCGCGAGTTAAGAAGCTATTTGCTATAGTGTTTGCCTTCTTCATTATTATTGAAAGGTGCTTGTAGTTTTGTTAGGTGTATTATAGATTCCCTGATTGAAATTCTTCGAGTCCTATATTTTACTTAAAAAAGGTTTTACTGCTCTTAAGTCTATTTTGATGGAAATGTCCTATTTCGAGCAGGTATTGACGAAAGGATGTAATAGGAGCGAGCTTTAATCGTCAATCTGAGAAATAATGTCTGCGTTGAGACCTTACGATGATTGGCAGATTGCTTACTTAGCTGATTAATTATTTAGCCGATAATTTTGTACAACACAGGAAGCGACTCCTCTTATTAAGAAGCTACTCCGAATATTAGAACTTTTGCTTATGAGGTAGGTACACTAATAAATGCTTAAAATTTAAAGAGGATTGAGTTAGAAATTCTTTGTAAGATTAAAGTTCCCTTTACCACGCTCCCATGTATTGTAGTTTTCTTTGGTACGGAAATGTTCGAATAGTTTTAATAATGCTTGGATGAGGGTGAATGTGATGAGAGAATGCTTATTAGTGAATGTTTATTAGTTTAGGTGAATGTTTATTAGTTTTAGTTTTATTAGTTTTAGTTGTATTAGTTTTAGTTTTAATCTAATAAACACGTTTTAGTCAACCTGAGTTGTATTATTTTGGACCTTGCTGTAAAATGATTCATTTTGACTGGTCCAGTAGGTGACTGGTCGTCTGGTATTGTATTGTATAATATTATCGACGTTAATGAATAGGCCAAATTTGGCCTCTCGCCGAATCCTGACTTGTCTTCTGAAGATCAGTGAACTTGTCCTTAATTTGATCAGATCTATCCAAAACTGACGTTGAAGCCAAGTAGCTGCTGAATATTAGAATAGAAGTGTCGGCGTTGAAGAAATAGGCCCATGGCCTGTTGCCGATTCTTGAACTTTTAGTGACTTGATTCACAAGGGATCCGGCCTTTGGAACCCGATCTTTCCATAACTGACGATTGATTGAGATAGCTGCTGGACTTATTGCCTGGTCCGTAATTTGCTAGGCATTTTAAGACTGAACCAATTTGTAAAGCGGGTTTATGTTTCGACTTCAACTCGAAACATTTTTTTATCTCTGTATCTTTCCTAGGAAAAAAAGTAATGATTAGGCTAGAGAAAAATAGTGAGACGAATTGATGAGGGTATTTCACGCCTATCATTTCAATATCATCGAGTGATATCAATTCATTAATTCACGCAAGAATATCCTTGGTGAAAATATTTAGAATCAAACCTCTGTCAGAATTGGTGTAATGTTAACATTGTGAAACTTCGATACTAAGTATTTTCCCGAAGCCTTTACTCTGAGCTTAACCATCGTTCGTTATGGATAAAGGAAGTTTCAGTCAGCGGCTGCTTACTCGAATATAGCAGCATGTTCAAATAAAGTTTTTGATCTAATCATCGCGGTGATAGCACCAACTTCTGCCATTTGATGAAATTAATACTTTCAATACTTCAGTAAGATATTTTTAAATGACACGAGTGCCAAGTCCGCTCCGATCGCTAAGCGGTAGATCGAGGATAGGATTTGCGTAGGGGAGATCGGAGTTCGAATAGGATAGTTACTGGTAATGAATAATCGCTTCGAAATAATAAGAGTAAAGTACCTATCGTATCTATAAAATTAGATAGGATAGGTACGGCATTTCTAGAAATTTATTTTAGAAGGAAAACATGGCGTGGCAAAATTGTGAAGAAAATATGGGACAAGAAAGTTGAACTGTTTATATATAATATAATACAATGTAATATAATAATATAATTTAATACGATATAATACAATTTATTTTAATTTAATATAATATACATCCTCTATAACGCTAATAATATTAGTTTTCGACCATAATGACTTCTCGACATGTCAACATGACTCAATCCAGAGCATGATGGCGATGACGTGATCCCCCTATCTCTCACCTCATGGGAAGCACGCCATATGTTCTGATTGCCGTAGCATTGCCTGATACCTTAACACAGTTGAGGTCCTGTTGCGTCTGTTGACGAAGTCTTACGCACTCTCCCATCATCCTCAAAGAATTTGCTATATATTTAGGAGAGAAGCTTCTCCATGCTGGAGAAAACTAAAATGAAAATTGCCGTCTGTGCTTTATTGTGCTTATACGGTTTAGCCTCCGCAACCGCTCCGAGTGCAGAAGGTAAAGCAATGTACTGACGTACCGTCGTTTCAATCTTTACCCGCACATGATAGATTGATTAATATCGAATAGTTGATAATGTCGGTGATAGAAAACTGCATATAATTTATTTATAATTTTACACACCCTGCAGTTTATTATACGCCCCTGCATTGTCACTATTTTATACACCCTGTATTTTATTATACGGCCCTGTATTATAATTATTTTGTACACCCTGTATTTTATTGTACGCGTTATTTGACAAGCAACAGGGGATGAGTATCCATTCATCAACTTTGTTAATGATGAGCAAAGACGTTTTGCCATAGAATAGAATAGAAGTGTCGGCACTGAAGAAATAGGCCCATGGTCTGTTGCCGATTCTTGTACTTTTCGTGACTTGATTCACAAGGGATCCGGCCTTTGGAACCCGATCTTTCCATATAGCTGACAATTGATTGAGATAGCTGCTGGACTTACTGCCTGGTCCGTAATTTGCTAGGCATTTTAAGACTGAACATATGCTCCTGCATAGCTTCGTCTAGTCTGTTTTTGAAGATGTTCATACTCGGAGCGTCAACGATGCTATCAGGGAGGCTGTTCCACATGTCGGTGACTCGAAGCGAGAATGCCATCATTTAATGTTTGTATGCATTTTCCATTCCTAAATGTTGGCCTTATTGGATAGAAAGGTTTTCAGGCGGAAGGAAAAAGTTGATCAAATCTGACTATGCTTACATAATTATCAAAATAAGGGCCCAGAAAAATAAAAATGTCCGCCTCACATGTCTGAGGTGCGTAATATTCAAGGGTCTGCTATATTAACTTCTCGCTAACCAACTGGTCGCAAATGGGCCCAGCGGTAGAAATAGAAAAAAAATGCATATGCCAGAAAATGCATGATAAGGAAGCACAGTTTCTCCCGCTTCTCCTTCATTTTCATTAAATGATTCTGATTATTTTGATAATAAAGTGAAGGCACTCATAAGATTGCCTCTCCAAGTTAATTTATTGTAATATTTTGATCCTCGCTTAAGATCTTAAAACCTTGAGATCGCCCCCAGGTAACACTTTGTCGGAGTTCGTTTTAGGCGTCGCCCACGGCCACGCTAATGAAAGACATGCGCACCTATCAATATATCATTATATATTACTTAGCTATTAAATAAGTAAATAATTAAGTTATTAAGGTCGAGCATTCAAGAAAATTTGCGGTTGACCAAATTCTTATTTATTTCTGCATCTCAAGTAATTGTATCCATTGAATCATATGTTTGGTTAAAAATAATGCCAGTTCTATTGAGAACTTCTTTTGAGTTTAATCTCTCAAGTTTTCTGATAAGAGGTACAGTAAAGGGCCAATAAGTCCTAAAATTTGTCCAAATGGAAGGTTAGGTAAATCCTGCGACGCATTTCATCATAGCTTACTGGAGTATTTCTCCATCCGTTAAATTTACTGGAGAATTTCTCCATCTCAAATAATTGTATCCATTGAATCATATCACTCGTCATTTCAGGACAATTCAATTCTTTTCCTTAAGAAAAAGTCCAGGCCACTCGTATTGTGATGGCCCATCCGGTTGACGCAGCCATCAACATCGAAAACAATTGATCAGCGTTATACGCAGCTCCTAAGAACGTGATTTTAACATAAACCAGAAACTGAATTAACTGACGAGGAATAAAACGGAAATATGACATTCTCTTCCATAATCTCTCACAAGGTGCAATGATTTACTCACCTATTACCTATCCTCAGCACTACTACTGAGAAAATCTAAATACCTTTCTGCTATAAATTTTTCCTTGCTGATATGCGTAAATTGCTAAAGGATTGTAAGTAATTGTTGATATGCGTGCTACATTCCTTCAATCGCTGTCAATCTCATCAGTTTTTACATTTCAGAAGGTAGCAGAGCGGACGACTTCCGCTACCTGACGGGGTATGCCAGCCCTAACTGGACGGGCGTGTACTACCAGTTCGCCGAGTACTCCCCCGACCTGAGCGTCGTGTTCCTTGACGACGCCCTCGAGAGCGTCTGTGGCACCGGATAGTGAGTGCATTTAATAACATAACATAACATAGTGATGTCGGCGCTGAAGTGTAGGCCTGATGTGGCCTGTCGCCGATTCTTTTCCTTTTCGTGCCTTGTTCATAGCTCTAAACTCGTGTTATTTGCCCGGATCTTTTCAGGACTGACGATAGTTTGAAGTAGCTACTAGACTTGCACCGGGTTCGATAAGGAGCTAGGCATTTCAAATCTGAACATATATTTTTCCATAGCTAATGAGCCGACCTCAGGCAGCGGTGTTTTGTATAACACAAGATCAAGAAATTTCTGGCTGAACAAGTGTGCCGGAAATTGTTGATGTTGTTTGTTTGGCCATAATTAGTTTCAGGCGGAGAGAAAATATTAAACTAAATGTTATATTAGTACCAAATTGCCTTAGTATGAATTAAATAATTCAACAAAATAAAACTAGAAAAAATAATCTAAGAAATAAAAAATTGAGTGAGCAATTATCTCTAATCCTCCTTGAGCAACCTGAACTTTACTTCAATGTAACACATGAATGAAATATAAACATTTCAATTCAAAAGTTAAAGATGACTCTTGTGAAAATCCATACCGTTGAATTTATAGGTTAAATTTTAAAATCAACGTTGATCAAAGAAAGATGGAATGCCGGAAAATCAATTGAAAGTATATAATGCTTGTTAATAAAAATCCTTATAAAAAACTTATCCTTTTTCAATTTCAAGCGGATGAGAACTGCACCCATTAGGCTACATGAAATTGTCTCCGATACATTTGCAAGAAGATATGGTGAATATAGTTGGCATTTTCTTTGTTTTTCAATTCATGGTAAAGTTACCATTTAAGCAGGTGAATGCTATATCAGTGATCGTGCCACATGAAATTATTCCGAATAATGTTATTGTCCCCCACAGCTGGATCTTGTACGACGCCACAGACTACGACCCATACGCCACTGGCATCACTTGCCACTTCCATGGAGTGAACCAGTGCGCCAACTGGGACTCCAGCTGCAGCAATGTTGTGAGGGATACTGGGCTCAGTTTGAAGATTATTTTTATGTTTGTTAAATATGACATTCATTTAAACTGTTATAACTACATTTTCATTGTAAAACAGAGCTCTGTATTTTGAATTAATTATTGGCGAATACCAAGAAAAATGCATTACGATTTAAAAAAATCAGATTCGATTTTAGATTCACACATTTTTTTCCAGTACAGTTATGTTAACCTTTCTGTCAATCGGTATAAAACTTGTAATCCAGAGCGACGAGGCAGAGAACCATCCTGGATAGTGAACTACACACAGATTTGTTTATCCAAGGTTATAGCAGAAAACCTTTATAACTAACATGCACAACTACCAGCAGATTGTTTATCCAGAGTGACGGAAAAAAATTTCAAACCCTCGGAAAAAATGAAGTTGAAAATTTTTTTTCATGACATTTTTTTCATGACATCCATGACGGAAAAAAATTCATAAAAAAATTCATAACCGCCCGCAGGCATCGTCACTGAGGTACGCCGGTAGCCCCTTCGGCCTCAACAACGACTATTATAATCTGTATGAAGGAAAAAGTTTCCGCGGCGAAGAGTTCCAAGGCGACACCGACGCCGCTGACTTGGGGGATTTGGACCTCAAGATCTCATCTTTAATGGTGACCGGGCAGTCGGGGTGGACATTCTATGTGTGAGACCAACTTGCTATACTGTAATGATCATTAATATCTATAAACACGCTCTTGATAAATCATTTACTCCATAATGGCTACAAATTTTATGTTATATTCAGTAAGGAAATATGATGTACTAATTCGCTGTAGAATGCACCCTCACTAGTTCGAGGTCTCAAATTAATTATTTCTTGCACCAGGGGCGTTAACTTCTCGGGCCCCGCCGTGTGCGTGTACGCGGACGAACACCTCACCACCGATGGCATTCATCTCGACTATGCCCGCTTTTTCGACGTAAGAAATACCAGAATAATTCACTTGATGAATATCAATCAGTAGATTAGACTTTGAGCAAAACTATTAATAAAATTTTAACGGTTTATGCTAGTGATGTCAAATGGTAGGCTTCTTCAGACCAACTTTAAAAGGTGTCTTGTACACAGGATCAACAATGTCTGCAATTCACACAGAAAAAAATTGTGTATTGTGGTCATCCGGCGATTAGCAGAAGATTTTTATAACATTCTTATTTTCAAAGATATCGAACAAGTATTTTAATCCCAATTCCAGCAAAGTTAGATGAAGACTTAATCACTCATAGTTGTTATACATTATCTGTATATGTACGTAATAATTAAGAGGCCGGTGCGTACGCTCATGCGGCGCTACTAAGAAGAAAAATATTTCTTACTAGCGGAAATATTTCTTCATACATCAAAATCCATGACGTGGATGCATGTTTTGCTATCGTTAATGGCTTTAGATTACCTTGAGACAGCCAATCATCGATAGACGTTGCTGCAAATTTTCGCAGTTTCCTTCACAACTTAAATATTTTCTACGGATGACACTTTTGGCAAAATTAAAGCTGTTAAAAAAATTTATGGAGATCAGGTTTACAAATAAGTGTCTGGAATAATTTTTTTTTTCTAAAATGATCTGAAAATGTGACAAAACTTTTTAATTGAACTAGAAGCTTCCGTTTCCACACACGTGCGAATAAATTCACCGTCCTCAACGAAATGGATTCTCGTTTACGAATGTACATGTTAAAGAACTCTAATTCCAGTATAAAAATGCATTTGTGGTGCAGATGAGCGAGCTCGGTCTGCCCGACAACGCCATCAGGTCCGTGGAGCGCGGCTGCCTCAGCGACCGCGTGGTGGGAGCGTCGCCCCCGTGGCGGTGAACAGACGATCAGGAAATTGGCAACAAACGATCAGGAAATTGGCAACAAACAATCAGGAAATTGGCAACAAACGATCAGGAAATTGGCGACTGAAGCGATGCGACTGAAGTGCATTGCACGAATGCACGAGTATATAGTGCATGTGCAATGTTTAAATTTGACGATTATCCACCTTTCTTGAGCTGCATTAGACCGAAGTGTATGCACCAGTGCAGCACCTGGGATAAATTTACCTACTTCTCCAAAAAGTGAATCAAATAGGCGCAATTTTTACCTTGCTTAGTATATTTGGTTGTGTATTGAATTGGAAATTATAAAAATTGTATGAATTTTAGTCCCTAAATAATCATAAATAATCAAATGGGTTCCTTGAAAACCTAGTGAAGTGGCTGTTCGATTTACATAAATTCTTGTCGATGTAGTGTATGACTGATCGGTACGTGGATGCAAGGTTAAGGAAGGTTATGAGTCTTTGAACTCTTTATATAATTATTGCATATTTTTAGCCTTTATGTACCGGAATCCGTATTGATATGTATTTTTCATCTCATAATCTTATGATATCGTTAAAAATAGCAGAAGCACAGTGTCAAAATATGGTTACGACAATTTAAATTATGTGTCCAAATCACAAGAAGAGCCCTAGTTTATGTGTCCGTAAACCAGGAATAAGTTAATTGCTGAAAATGTTGAAAATAACCAAATCGGAATAACCTCAAATTAGATAGAATAACTAAAACGAATTTCAGCCCACGCCTCGATATCACTGTTGTCATCGGCGCATCATCGCATTACTCTTCACATATAATCAAATCAATGAAATTATTTATCGGAGTCAGATTGTTTTAAGAATTATTGTTTATGACACAAAATAAATAAATTAGGAATTATAAAACTCGCTGCTCTCAAACTGCTGACCAACTTCCAGCTCGCTGTCTTTATCCAGAAATGAATTTGGGAGTCTGCATCAGCAGCGTCGTCCCCTCTTAGTGCTAAGTTTATTTCACAATTACCCATTGGGACATCAGATTAAAAGAAACATGCATGAAGGTATCGGCATGAAACAGATTTTTGTGGGAGTTTTTTTTAATTACATATGGCTGCAGAGTCCACTTAAGCCCTCGAAGAAGGGTTGCCAGATGGCCTTTTTCCGCAGACAAAAATGGTCAAAAAAGGCCTATAACTCAATATATACTGGGATAATTGTAGGTTCCGGTGTAATATAAATCCGGTATAAAAATTCCGGTATATTACATTTTATTTTTTTCGCACTTTTCAAAATTTAATGTGGAATTACCGCTATCTTTCTCCGTCAGGATGGACGACATCAGCCGCACCAACAAGTATGGAGATACGTCCAAGTGCATCATCAACATAGACAGTTCGCTGAGTAACTACTGCGTGTGTACTGAATAACTGTAACTGAATAGATGTAATAACTGAATAACTGTACTGAAAAGCACTAACTACTGGCCTGGCACGGCTGCTCGGTAATTATCTGCAGCTACATCATGGAAGGTTCCTCATCGGTCATTGTATCAACGATTAGGAGTGATAGGATTTTTTTTTTGTTAAATTAATGACAATTTCTCCACGATCTCATTTTAAAGTGACGGATCCAGTTATAAAATCGGCCAGTACCGTCTATCATCATCACCTGAATTCAGAATCATCATCACCTGAATTCAGAACTACATTCTGGATGAGAGGCGTTTATGTGTTTTAATTGCTAAGAGGAATGAGTTTGTTCTCTATCTTTCATAGGTTTTCCCTAGATATTAATACGCACAATAATCTACATATATTCAAGTGCGGTATTTCAGAGTGGTAGCGTAATTTTTCAGTTTCGCTTTCCTCTCTCGTTTTCTAAATTAGCTGTACGAAAATCTTAAATTTCTTCAGAATTTCTTATATTCCATAAAATATAAGGCTATACTTATGTCCTATAAAAAATCATTCATTAATCAGCATTTAATTTCTGTGAATTTTGTTCACTCATGAAATTTGACGTTCCAGTTCACAGCGCGTAAATCATTTTCGTTAAGACGCACATCTCGACTTTATGAAGTTTTAAATGCATTTAATGTGTGCTTCCTTCGCGGGACACCTACTCAGGTTTGCATTACTTTAGAACTACCTCGTGAAATTCCATTAAACTTTAAAAAAAACTAGTCACTTTTTCTGGTCAAAAAAGATTCCACAGCACAAAGCAGCTTCAGTTACGTATGTGCAAAGATCCTAATCCTTTTCGCGTTTTTTGCCTTGACGAATCTTTTCCACGAAAAGATTGCATGGAAATGAATTGAACTGATTTACTGATGAATAATGATGCTAGCGTGCTTCTTGTTTTGGTTAATATTTCTCATTTGGGGTCAAAACCTCATGTTATCCGAGTGCCGTAATTTTACAAGGGTTCAATGAATGTAAATTATTATTTATTGAAATCGATCGGTTAAAAGTTTCTTCCCTCTTATGCTAGAGCACAATTGATATACTTGTGAGAAACTTCTTACTTCAAGTTGAGGGCCGTCGATTTTGATCTTTTATTCACAAATTTCGTTCTCCTGAGGTCGATACCACGATATAATCCAAGTTTCAATGCTCTTCTTTGGAGTAGAATTTTCAATCACTTCCACAGTCATTTCATCCGTTCCGCTTTCTGTGATATTGGGCCTTGCTGCACTAGTTCCTTCAGTTTTCTGCGTTGGTGCTGGAGTATTTAATAAGTGCTTTGCGTTGTGTTAGTAAGTGCACCGCTTTAGGAGCTATTTAACGATTCCAGATAACCATTTCGTTTCTGTGATGCATGAATCGAAAGCTGCTGTATTAGGTTTGTGTATATTTTTACGTAAGCTTATAGTCTAGACTTTACAAATGACGAGTGCCAGATCAGCCACGGCGCCAGTTGATATTTATGGGCTTAGGCGGCGCTCCAGCGTGGCCTGGGACTGCTGCTACCTAAACACTTACCGTAAGCACTTATTTTTAATTCACTTACCTTTAATTCAATCGAGAATATAGTTACTCTGATGGCAGCTACGAGGTTAAATTTTGAAGAGCGTGACAGCTATAATAAACGAGCGTGGCAGCTATAATAAACGAGCGTGGCAAGTATTCTTAATATAATGACTAGAGTTGAAAAATATGCCCTGCGTTTACATTATTGTTAGATACCAAAAACTTGAAAGTAAACAAAAAGCAAAAGAATTTGCTTGGATTTCTCTTCGCTTATAAATAAATTTTTGTTTAATTTGCTATTGAAGCAAAGTACAATACAAGTTAGGATCATCCCATACCTTTTTTGAAGTTAACCAGTATAGAAGGGTAATCAAAGACTATGTTTTTTTTATGTTAGCATTCAGTCATGAAAAATTCTTTGTACTAAAGAGAAGCATTAAATCAATATGGATAACTGTAATTTCAAAGCCGGTTTGATTGTTTTCTAGATCCAATTGACTATTTTGAATTAAATTTCCCTTGGCTTTATTCTGAATGCAATACCTAGTGGATTGAAAATTCTACAAGCGATACATGTTTTATAAACGAAGAATTTAAAAGCAAAGAAAATTTCAAAGTGGAACAGCCTCCCTGATAGCATCGTTGACGCTCCGAGTATGAACATCTTTAAAAACAGACTAGACGAAGCTATGCAGGAGCATATGTTCAGTCTTAAAATGGCTAGCAAATTACGGACCAGGCAATAAGTCCAGCAGCTATCTCAATCAATCGTCAGCTATGGGAAGATCGGGTTCCAAAGGCCGGATCCCTTGTGAATCAAGTCACGAAAAGTTCAAGAATCGGCAACAGGCCATGGGCCTAATTCTTCAACGCCGACACTTCTATTCTATTCTATTCTATTCTATCATAAATTCTAGCCGGTCAACGCAATTGAGAAAAACCAAATCGAGGAATTTGTCCGGAAAAAAATCTGGCAACCCAGCTGAGTGAGTACGAAGTATGTATGACAATTGACCATGTTAGTTTAACCGGTCGCTTGTAGCCTATGTTTAACGGATTGATTATATTTAACGGTTAACAAACAAAGTGTGTATGATCGGTCAAACAAAGTATTTGTCAATATATAGTTTTACGGCCGTGAATGAGCGTTCTTAAATTTGAGTAATCGTTATTTTTCGTCAAATGAATGATTGCAACAACCAATTTAAATACCTGTGCTTTGCATTTTAACGTGAATCATACCTCGTCTGGAAATTTTCGAAGATAATAAAGGAAGGCGAAATAAATGAAAACGATATTTTTTATGACCACAGTCATAACTGGAAGATGCCTGAGAAAATAAGTTGCCTGCATTGTAAGTCGCAAGTTCGACGGATCTAAATGTTACAGTATAAACCTGTTAAAATCAACCTTTTTAGTACCTAGTGTCGGAATAATGATTTGTTCTGTGTCGAGCATTTGACCCTTTACTTGATGTCTGATCGACGAGCGCAACAATACGTGAATCAATAGTAATATTCTTCGGCATATGAGCCATCGCTATTTTGCTCAAAACTTCTAATTCTCTCGTAACTAAAATCGTTCTCTGTGCAGACCTTTACATTTTTCTTAGAAATTATCTTCTGCTAGCTTTCTTGCGGAGGGCTTATCCATCGAGCTTCATATTTACTTGATATGAAGCAGAGCAAATGAAATTTTGACTTTTCCAGGCATGAGATGAGTTTTTTTTACAAAAATTAACATAGAGAAGATGATCCATCCAAACGTGGCTTGCGTTTCAAATAAATAACATTTAAACTACTATGAAAGCGGGAATCTAAAAATCCCGCCAGAAGCAGCCGTTTTTAAATTGTGATTACCGGCGTGATATGCAGGGAACGGTTGCTAGGATATCACATCCCTAACGCGGTAACGAATGTTGTTAATCTTGCCAAAGTGCATTCACGCTATAATTCATCGAGCACTTTTGACTAGCATCGTAACCACTGGGCAGGGAGGGCCAGTGGTTACAGTTCAGAGTACCAAGATTGGCGCAGAGGGGTGTGGGTTCGATCCCAGCTCTGTGCGCCAGTTTCTGGTCCGAATCGGCGAGGAGGCCGGGCGGTTAACTAAGCACAGCAGAATTTTAGTGGAGAGTTACTTGTTCCAGACCGCAAAATGCTGTGAATGTTCTGCAATGTTAGGAATCGGCGACAGGCCTACGGCCTAATAAACGCTGAAATCACTAAACTTATTGACAGGGGAGGAAAAAAATGCACCAAATTCTTGTTTCCATTCCAAGAGTTTCAAATACCTACAAATGAACATTCCAAATAAAAAAAACATATATCTGTCCAACACTATATTGCAGCTTATCAGTATATGTAAGCTGACGCGTTTACAATTAGTTCTTTCACAAGAAGTGGAAAATAAACATCATGACCATGTATGCGCTACACATGCACTGTGTGTACGCGTGTGATGGACATCGCGTCCATCTCTTCAGTTGCTGACGTCATGGACGTTTTCCCACCGCCTCGAGTGCCGTTCAGGGGCGCTCCCACCACGCGCTCGGCGTGGCAGCCGCGCTTCACAGACCTGATGGAGTTGTTGGGCAGGCCGATCTCACTCAACTGCACATTGAGATTAAGAATAAAATACCACACGATTTGCATTCAAAGATGCATTTTTCTTTCATTTTAGAGCTGTTGATGGAAAATTTGTTTAGTTTTTTTGTCGCTGCAGGAGAGAGAAGATATCAAGCTGGTTCACTGGTGAAAACAATGAAACGATCATCCCCGACAATGGAAACGGTTATAAGTAAGAATTACCTCGGTCCATGATTCAAATACGTTGCAAGTGTCAAAAAAGATTTATATGTATTCTGCGTTGTAAAATGTTAATCGAATTCGTTGTTATTGAATTACGTGATGAACATCTAAGCCCTTATCTTAATTACGTGATGAACATCTAAGCCCAATGTCAGTTGAATGTCTTGGATGTAGAAATATTTATCTGTCAAACTCCTCCATGAAATTTCTGTTCAGTGGTTCAGTGTGGGCTTTAGTTCAACGGGATTAATGATTACGGCAATTTTTCTTGCCAAGGATGGCCTCTTTTGGTTTGAAGTACGTTACTTGCAAGCGACGCATTATATTGAAATAGTGGCAGCTTTTCATCGATTTTTCCTGAACAGTACACATGGAACAGTGCATATAATATTCAACCATAGAATCAGTTTGAGTTAAGAAAAACTCGTACAAATATACTCTAAACCTGTCATCCGTAGGATGAAATGAAGAACCAAAATATATGTGATGCGTTTTTCAGCAAGAACGTAATTTATTTGGCGCATATCTGATATTTAGAAATAGAATTTTCAAAATTTTACCATCTTTTCTAGCATTGAAGTGAGATAAACTTAGCACAATTGAAGTGAGATAAATTGATCAATTCTGAAACATACGTTATATTATTGTAGTTGCGCAATTCAGCCGCCGTCATTTATTTGCCCAGCGTCCACTATAACGAGAGAGGTGGGCTTCATTCGCTTCAGTATTTCTTTTACTTATCATTGTTTAGGATTGCCATTAAAGCACGTCTCGTGATTTTTAACTAGTTACGTGCACCAAAGGACCAGAATTTTAATACTTGCTATTTTGTTGCGCACTTGTTCCTGACATTGCGTGAATTTCTGGATTGTTTCTTGGCCTCATTTTCAGTGACTCGTAATAAAGTTCACGTATATTCTTATGTAGGAGTTTCCATGGTGGACTCTTGTTTATTAGTTATAGTTAGGGTTTCAGTGTTGACGATTCGTGTTCCTTAATTGATCCTGCTGAAATGTCCTGGATAAATACCGTCGTACAATGTGCTTATGTGGCCTAGTTGATGCTGTTTTACATAATGTACGACTGGCCGAGGACGACAGTTTGCGAATGGCGGTGGATGAGTGGCGCAATGGGAACGCAGGTATTGCTTTGCCCGAGGACGCGAGTTTGGGCCGGCAGAGGACTTGGGATGGGCCTGTGGCCGCGGCCTCTGCGGCGCGGCTTTTGGAGGCGGCGGACCAAATATCCAGGGCTCGTCTACTTGCGGCGACGAAGAGAGAGAGTGGCTTGTGGCTTCACGCTATTCCTTCGAATGCTCTTGGAACACTTCTAGGTCCCGACTACTTCCGCGTCTCAATTGCTCTTCGAGTTGGCGCAAATGTATGCGAACCCCACACTTGTCGGTGCGGAAAGCGGATGGATGCACGAGGGCTGCATGGCCTTTCTTGTAAGTACAGCGCTGGGCGACATCCAAGACACTCGGCTCTGAACGATGTGACTGGGATGCAACCTGCGTCGACACTTTTGCTGAGTCGCACGTCAATAATTCGGCTATTTCTGCTGGGTTCGCGGCTCGTGCGGCGGAGGATAGCAAGAGACGTAAATACGCGGCGTTGGCAGCTCGGTATCGTTTCGAGCCAGTCGCATTAGAAACGGCGGGCACATATGGTGGAACGACTGGTCCTTTAATATCAGAGATTGGCCGTCGCATTACGGAATTGTCCGGCGAACGTAGAGAGACTCTATGGTTGGAGCAAAGGTTGGGTTTGGCTGTGCAGAGAGGCAATGCAGCTAGCATCCTAACAGCAGTCAGAGAAAAGTTCGACGTGGGCCCGCTCCTCGCTCGCGTCACAGCTCGGTCACCCTCGGAGTCGGTGTAGGCCACCATCAGAGGCGTTAAGGTCGGGGCCCTGATCATTGACATGAAACCATTCCCTGTTTTTAATTAATAAAATCAATTCTTTTTTTTTTGTTGGAATGGTGAGTGTGGGAGGCCTTTTAAAAAAAATGTGCTTATTGATACTGCTTTATATGACGGTTCTTGGTTTAGGTTGGATGTTTAACTGATTTTTTTACTTATGGTTATTTCACGCGGACGTGGGTATCATATTCCATCTATCTCGTGTGGTTTACATAGAAAATAAAGTTTGGTTGTTATCGTTGAAGCGAAGGACTATAGAAGGAAACTAACCTTATACCGTTCAATTGAGAAGGCGCTGTTGATTCACTGGAGGCAAGAAGTCTTTCGGTTGTAGAGCCTAACATGGTTCACATTTAGTCACATAGTCCAATGCATTGTATGGGAAAGATTTTAGTGTTTTAGGAGAAGGTTCTTAGCTTTTTCTAGTACAACTCTATTGCCTGTGTTTATGCACTTTTATTGAATCTAACCGGTCTGTATTGATTTCCCAATCTGCAGACGGGGTATAGCACGTATATGTTGAAGCTTCCCACAACATTATATCGCCTTTCACGGCACTCAGGCGTATGCCTATTGTATGGGAGTTCTATTTATTTTTAAAAGAACTCAATGGAAGGAAATGAGACAGCCCGCAATTGATCATCTTCAAAAGCTTAACGAAAAGATGGAGCAGACTGAATCCGATTCAATAAACTTGTAATTTATGTGATATATTTCCATCCCATCTAATAACAAAAATAAAATGAAAATTATATTCTAACTCACCGCTAAAACATGTATAAAGTCGAGATCAGTGCCATTGTTTGAGATGTGCTGATCTGCATACACGCACACGGCGGACCCCGAGAAGTTAAGGCCTCTGTTGGTTTAAATATTTCTTTCGTAACTGGAATGTGAGAGTTTGCAGTTGTTTTGAAATAGTTTGTAAGGGGAATTCTCCCCATTATTGATGTGAGAAGCTTGAAATTATGAAATAAAAATTCAAAGGGTAACAAATTAGTTCGGAATTGTTGATGCCGAGAATTTTTGTTACTAAGAAGGTACGCAGACTCACTCATAGAATGTCCACGCTGACTGGCCAGTCACCACTAATGATGAGATGGTGAGGTCAAAGATGCCCAAGTCAGCAGCGTCTGTGGCGCCTCGGAATTCCTCACCGCGTAGAGTTGTGCCTTTGTACAAATTGTAGTAGTCATTGTTGATACCCGATGGACTGCCGGCATATCTGAGCGAAGATCCCTGCAAGCAATGTATTATTCAGGAGAGATCCCTGCCTCGTCACTCCGAATATGAGAATTGATTCTACTGCCTGAATTATTTAATCATCTTACCGTAAATATTATGTCGATGAATATAAATGTGGGACATGTTACAATTTGAGTGTAATTAAACCATTGATTCATTTCGATAAAGCGTCTTTGGCAGCGGATTTTTCGGCACCGCTATAAGCAAAGTCTAACCGTTGGACTTTGCTTCTATAGCGGTGCCGAAAAATCAAATGTTAAACTCTAACGCGATGGGTATAGAAACGAGAATTAACGAAATAGACGCTTTTGGGGAAAGTGTATTTGAGCGTGGACGTAAGTTACATACGGAAGTTGCACGTGTAGGATAATACTAATTGTACAACACAATATGAGACAATGTTGAAATTTTGCACAATAAACAAGGAAATGTTCCAAATTAGAGGAACAATTCAGGAGCTATTTAAAGGCCTTACCCAGGACGTTGGTAAACAAGGTTGAAGTGAGGTTAGCAGTAGTTCGGATGCTTTATAAAACGTTCAGTATATAAAAAAAATTCAGATAATTATATTCGTTTAACTAATTATAATAGGGTCGAATATTGGATGTCCCTACACGCTGCCATTCAACGACAAATACACGCAATGAAAAAATATCAATCGAAACTAAATGCGAGCTTAACTGTTGTGAAAGTAACGTGCTACAAAGGTATACAAACATTTTGGATTCAAGTAAACATGGCGTAAGAAGTCTGACAGATGAAAAAAGTTTCTCTCACCACATTCCAACAGAATGTGTCCCAAGTCCCGCAGCCGTTTACTCCCTCATAAACGCAAACCTCGTGGTTAGAGTCGTAGTTGATGGAGTCATACAGTATCCATCTGTGAATTAGGTTAAAAGTTGAGGTAAACAAAGTACTTTACATCGCTTTAATGGATGAATACATTTCACATTTTCTTTTTGTGACTTGATCTTTATCATGCCAGGACATTAGGATGAAATTATTTTTTTCGTGGAATGATTTTTCTCCACAACATTTGTTCCTCATTTCAGAAAAGACCAGCAAAAATTTACGAATGAAATAAAATTGCATCAAATAATAATGTTCCGCGAATGCACTCACAATCCAGTCCCACACACGCTATCGATGATATCGTCCATCATCACCACGCTCAAGTCTGGCACGTACTCGGTGAACGTGTAGGACACGCCGGTCGAATAGGGCTCGGAATAACCTATTAGGTACCGGAGGTCGTCCGCTCTTGTGATTTCTGAAATTCAAGAGCTTCAAAGGTTACAATTGATGGATGATTATCCTCGACACAGAATATTGTAGCATGTACTATGACATCCTGAACTGGATCGATCAAAAAAATTACAACGCTGCTATTGACGTAGGGGCATTCTGAGAGTGCCCTCGTTAAGTCATGTACGCGGCTCATGTACACGTAATGTCATGCATGTGCACGATACACAGTTGGGAACATTTCACGTTTATTTTCTTATTATTCACTCTATCTCATTTCTGGCCTTCCATAAATCTACGGTGGCTCTCAGTTGAACATTCGGTGAATTATTATGAGCCTTGGTGCCTAATTTCTTCCCGAAATCTGGTTTGTAATGAAGTTGAAGAGTAACAGACTCGAATAGGCCGTCAAATCAATTCTACTCTTTACTGAATTTTCTTCGTTGGAGAATGTCAAATTAACCTGAAACAGTTTGTAAATGCGACTAATTAATTCAACAAATAGGAGCGAGCACATTTTTGACGCAAGTCAAATATAACGGTTAAGTCATATTTAACTAGCGACGTAATTTGGGTCATAGTTAAACCTATCATCATTCACTGCCTGAAAAAAGTGTTCCCGATGATCAATATTAACCTAACTTAATATTTGCTTACTTGACAGTGCACTACTCTAAATTACCTGCCTATATACGTATGCTGTGCCGAGTCTATCTATTGCACTCAAGGTAGTTGAATTCGCTACCATGATCACAATAATTCAAGTTCTTCGTGAAAGGAAAAGTGCATCCTCATTTTTGTGATCATCTGAAGTTTCGCTGAGCGCATTCCTACTTGATGATCTTCCAGGATTTCCTCGGGACCCAGGACGAGCTTTACTATATTAAAGCGTTGTACTCGTATAATGGATTTACTGAAAATTCGCCCACTCTTAAGTTCAATTACATATTTATTCACATTCCTGCTAACTTTCTTACGGTCAATCCAAAGAACTTCAGTGAATCAATCGAAATTTGCAGTTTAACCATTGAATAGGACAAAATTTATGTAAAAAGCGCTTGTATTTCATTTTCGTTGAAATAACTACTGATCATTCAGCTCAGTAACGAGCTGAATTTTTGCTGAAGTAACGAGCTGAACGCTGTAAATATGACCCGTTTAACGAGTCATATTTACAGCGTTCCTTTCAAAGAGAAGACTTTCCCTGGGTTTAAAGTAGTTTAATATATTGGCCACAAGTATATATGTTGATCGAGAGTCGATTGAAAAACGGAAAAATGTACTTTGCGGTAACAAACAAATAATCGTCAGGTAAAAAATTGCATTACCTTTTTCAATCGGAGAGCTTGAAGCAAGAACCAGGAATGAGCTCCATATTGCACAGAAAAGAGTCATCATCTTGATCTTCTGATAGAACCAGCTAGCTCGTAAAACTATCTGGTGATGTGCAGGCGGAATGCAAGAAGCATCAGCAAAAATCGTTGTTTAAGTACCATGAAAAGCTTTGGAAACCAAGACACATGTCGTAATTCTCATGAGCTGAGAGAACCTGCACGAGTGAATTCCGGGAAATATCATCGATAACTGCTAACATGCCGGTCTCCTGAATTCAAGCACCTTTTACTTGGTACATTTATTGGCTGCTGCTAAGTGATTTACAAATGATGCCATGTAAAATCCTAATTTTTTTCATTTTTTAATTTTTTTTATTTTTTTTCCCAATTAGAAGTGAAAATACGTTGAAATTAAGAATGAATTTTTCATTCTAAATAACACCTGAAATTTTCTTTCCCCATCGGGTAAGAAGAACGTAGAATAAAATTCAATTCTTTGTAATGATTGTTTTACTGTGCTGAAATGATTAATGATTTTCTATTCAACTCATATTTTCGACCTATGTATGTGTTATTATCCTGTAGCGGAATGTAAATTTGGAAATGGCTTCTAAAAAATCATAGTAGACAAATAGTAAACAATATAATATAAATAACTAGCAAGATATTAGGAATTGTTGCTGAGTTTTCATGCGTGAGTAGCATACGTCATATAAATGCGTGGTTTATACAGGAATATATCTAGTGGCGGCCACTAGCTGTTATTTGCTTTTCAAGTCATTTTATTTATTTCAAGTCATTTAACAGTCATTTACATGGTGTTTCCAGGTAACACATCTGCGTAAATCCATTATATCCACAGACTGCTTAAATTAATTTTAAATTTAAATTAAATTCCTCGTTATCTGTGTAAATTTTGCAGTTTTGATGACGAGTGATTTTGATCTATCTTGATGATGTCAAGCAGTCAATTAATTGTACTCGCATTAAGGACAGTATACTTGATGACGATTGCATCGCATTGAGTAGATTGTCATCAAGATCCCGAGCCCAAAATTTATAATGCTGACAAGTCTCTCGAACTAGGGGAATAGTATCGAATATCAGTTTATATAATCATAATTAAGTAGAGGAGAAAGGGGTTCTGAATTTGGGGTTCAATTTGACCAATTGAACCTTGAACTATTTGATCATTTACCCAACTACAACTATAGATGCAACTCCCTTACAGATTCTCAGATAATATATATATATATATATATATACAGGTTTGATTGAAGACCAGAGCGTACTTTTTATTTACGATTTTCTTATTGTTTTTTTCGATAAGCCGAACGAAATTTCTAGCTGGAGCTTGGAGATCAAAAAGCAGATTACCGAATGACATTTTAATAGAATGCGACGTTGTCATGTCATGTCCAAATCTCAATTTTTAGCGTTGTAATAAATGTTCACTTGCTTGATAATGAATATTGATATATTCGAAACGTCGCATTCTATTAAAATGTCATTCGGTAATCTGCTTTTTGATCTCCAAGCTCCAGCTAGAAATTTCGTTCGGCTTATCGAAAAAAACAATAAGAAAATCGTAAATAAAAAGTACGCTCTGGTCTTCAATCAAACCTGTATAAATGAAGAACTTCTGCCTAACTACACTAATATATATATATATATATATACTTTATATATAATTATATAATTTAAACACAAGTGGTTAATGACCAGAGAAATCATTGATTTAAATTTTCAGGATCGAACAATATTCTTCAGTTGACGTTGGTTGATAAGATTCAGGTTCAAGGAAGTAATTTAATTTATTAACGACGTTTCGAATGTGACATCATTCATTTTCAAGTTATAGGAAGCATTGAATACTGAAATTTTGGCGGAAATAAGTACATGATACACGTAAATATGATACAACACGAAAATTTGGAACCGTGAAAATAATTCCGAAACAATCTCAAAGTTCAGAAAATCCGGTAGTTATGAGACGAGTAGCTGCAGCTGGAGTCCAATCCGTAGAGATGAGGGCTTCAGCTATCGTCGGTCGAATATTTCGGGTCACTGCACGATGAAGATGCTGGTGTGTTTCTCCAGCACAGTGAGAGTTGTTGTCAAGGGTGTCAGGAAGCCTGTTGAATTCATCACGGATCATGAGATGAAGTTGCTCGATGGTAAGACTTTGAGACCTGGTCTGGTTGCGAAATTGTCTCAGGTGGCAGGAAAAACAGCTGCTCAATGTCGATGAAGTTACTCCAATTACTCTAATGTAGTCCAAAAGATGAAGAAGTCTACAACCTTCTTTGAAGCAAAATTTATAGATCACATCAGATTCTTGAAGAACTCCTTCTTTTTTGAAGGGGCCGTTGCTGAGTACAGTTCGGTATTTGACGTCGTTGTCAAATACCGAATGTCAATGATTTCTCTGGTCATTAACCACTCATGTTTAAATAAGCTTATTCTGCTATCTTATAGTAATTATATAATTATCTATAATTATAATTATCTAATTAGATAATTATCTTATTACCTTTCTAATAATGATTTTACAATATGGTCCATATTTAATTGAAGTGATACCACTCTCGCTGATGAAAGGTAAGGGATGGATAAGTAGGAGTAGTAACTTATAAGGGATTTAACCACCCTTGGCTAAAAATGTAACTGTTTGCTCAGAGTTAGTATGGCTTAATTGCTGGGGGCTTTCTACCAGCAGTTCACGGCTCAAATGAATGCTGTTTTTGCTGTTTTAACCGAGCAGCAAATTTTAGACCAAAACTTTTACAGAGAGTTAAGATGAAATCCGCTACTCACTGTTTCAATCTTTGAACTCTGAACATCACCCACAAATGCAACTGCCACAAATGCAAATTGTAATTTGACTGACCATTGAGCGATGTCGTGATAAATATTTTTTTTAAACTATAGAGGATAATGTATTAGAGTGGGTTTCGATACTTAACCTGCAATGTTTCCTGGCATGAGCACGCGAAACTAATTAAAGAAAGATTCTCTGTTGCTCTTCATATATTCGTTAAGTTATGGGTGACGTGCATTTTCAAAAATAACAAATACGGTAAAAAAAACGATGTGGGGTAGCGCGCTTGTTCGTATTTGAAATGACAAATATTGACCGGTAAAAAATCAATCTTCCAGACTATGAAAGATGGCATAACATCAATTAAATTTACACATTTATTGACATCTGGAAGGACCCACAAGGTTTTCTATTCTAAAGTAAAGGCAATTTTCAGAATATTGAATATTACAATATTACAATTTCGGTGAGAATTGCCATAAAAAAATGGACTGCAGCCAATTTCCTATTGCGATGAGGAAAGGAGATTGCACTTGAGACCAGTAGCTTTTTCTAGGAATTGATCGCTTTTATTCAACCTTGAGCATCAATGAACTATCAGCATTCAGTGTAATTTTGTGTAATATTTCACCTGCTAATTATCTTCATTTAGATAACATCGATGATATACTGCATGTTTTTGCTTCAGCATCGAAGAAATAATTGGATTATTCAATAAAGTGAATAAATAATATTTAGATTACTTATTAATCACAATAGATATGTTAATAGCTATGATCGTTTATTTATTCACGATTTTTTTCAAATAATAATTTTGACTTGCATAGAAGTTGCCCACTCCTAGGCTGTGTCATGAAAGGCAACATGAAAGACATTAACTAGTTAGACGGCTTTTTGTTTCTTTTTCAACATTAATTACTCTCCTTAATTAGTTTTAACAACAATTCTTCACTTCTGTCTCCAATTACAAGACTATTAAATTTCTTACCTGGTAGAGTAGGTGCTGCTTACTTCTTTTCAATTATCGCACAACGTAGTTCTCAGGTAAATGTTAATAAAAATATAACTCAGTATACTCATTGCAGTGAGTGACAGAGAGCGCATTTTCTCGTCGACGAAAACTTGAGGTCGCGGACGGACGGACGGACAGACAGACGGACATGGCGAGCACAATAGTGCATTTTTTACAGAAATGAGAAAATGCGCTAAAAAGTCACTCTCTGTAACGAGGTATGAAGTGAAAAATTGTTGCTTTAAATAGGGAAACGCCATCAAGTTATCCGATTTTACACCGAAACTGAACGTAAACTCTAATGCATCATATCACATCAACTCACAAAATATGTGATTACATATCGGAAAATTTTCGTATGAATTGTATAAGTTGCTGGGGACTACCAAGTTTGTAAGAAATTATGAGAGTAAACGTTTTCTGCAGTTTAAACACTTGTATAGTTAATGACATGCTGAAGCTTCACAAATGCATGAAGAACCGGTCCATGTTCATTCACCATGTAAAATTTAGTCATGAGAATTAGCGTGAAAACCTTTCAGCGTAAAATAATGAGGCTTTTAATTTATGTTTCGATATTGTAAAGTAGAGATACTTTACAATATCAAAAGAAATTTTTGGTCTGCACGACCATGCCCAGCGAGGCTAAAATTCTTTCTGTTGCGATTCTACAAATTTGGGTTTTATTTAAAATGCATCAATTTGCTATATATTGTGCGCAAAAATTACCTGTTGAATAATCTTATCCCTGTACATAGTATTCGAAACAACTGTTTTTATTACTTGGCAAACATGGGCTGTAGACCCTCCATTTAAGCTGTTCTATGTTGTGTATCACAACATTCTATTAAAGGGCAGGAATAATTGAGCTAAATCGTGTTCTATGTCCGTGAATTCACTTTGGTAAGAGTTAGGTGGTGATAAACTGTACGGGCATTGGATATGGGTGAGAATAGTTAGTAGAGCTTATATGGATGCAAACCACTTGATATCATGAAGGCATAGGTTAGGAGGAATTATCGATGGGACTCATTCGATATAAGTAAAGAATATGTTAGGAGGAATTAAAATTCCCTGTGACCTTTTCTTTATCGATATTTCGAAATGAATCGAATTATCGATGCGGTTCATTTGATACAGGGAAAGAAAAGTTCAAAATATATTATGGATGTGAACCCTCTGATGCGAGTCAGGGATGGTAATGTCGTTTTCTTAACCGCCGTACGTTTGATCGCTTTTCTTGCTGTTGTGGCGTAGTCTCTATGTTGGCTATACATCAATATCGCAAAATTCCGCGACATTATTTGTAGATCATTGAGGTTCGAATTAGGCAATATTAGTGGGTATATAGTAGCATCAATGAGTCGAATTTTTCCGCTTCCGTTCGTGCTCTAATCGCCGGCCAATGGCCGTCCAAACAGATGCTGATCATGTTTGGCCGATGGGCACTTAAAAAGAATCTACTGCGGCGAGAATTTTATTTTCTTAAATACTCAGATGTCGCGTACAGTTTAGCCTGGGCCCTAAGCACACATGTCACATATGCTTCATATATGTTCCTGCCGTTGTGCAAAATCCCTCTTTATTGACCATCTCAACATCAGCGCTCAAACTACGAACTGAATTTATAATCCAAAAACGTGATTAATATACACTCCACCTATGATCTATATGAACTCTCTGACCGGGTATAAGAGTATTTCCTTCAAGAGATGATAGCGTGGTAGCTGGAAATTTTTGATATCTTTATTAGTCAATCAAACGCCGCTCTCTTCAGTTTATCGGCGTTATCTCTTCGCGGCGCATTCTTATGTAGCTGACCATGGGACTCATGACAGACGTTGCCATCTAATTTCGAGTTGCTAACGCTGAATATCTCTTCGCAGAAGCCCCTTCATATTTGCTGTTGTCTTATTTCCGTTGGGAGAAGTTCATCATTAAGACTTTGATGCAGGTATTCTGATACTCTTCCGTTGGTGTTCTGGCTGCATCCATTCAAAGTGAAAAAGTATCAATATATTTTTTCTCATACTAACTTCCTACTACTTATTCAACGTTTCTTTGTTTGTGTTTTTAATCACCATTAAAGAATGCATTCGAAAAGTCTGAGTTCAATTCAAATACCTTTGCTGGGGATCGTCAACGAATGTACTCTGATAACTGAATAAATACTGCATATCCATTTAATTTTCAGGAGATTTCAAATTTTAGGAATGGCCAGTGAGGACGATTTTCGGTACCTTACAACCTATGCCGACCTCTCCTCCACCGGCGTGTCCAACCAGTTCACCGAGTACGCGCCTGACCTGGGAGAGGTGCTGCTGCTGGACAATACCATCGAGAGCGTCTGTGCTACTGGATTGTAAGTGAACACATTGAACTGGTTCTCAATAGTATCATCTTGTCGTCATATATATGGGTATATGTCTTACTTTAACTTGTCATATCAACATCATATACAAATTTTTATCTGCTGTTCACGAACAGAAATACGATTTTTGTAAATATTAGATTTGCAAATTGCATTATTTGTTCAAATAAGTGAAACGGTCAAAATTGAATTTCTGACACTGGCAAACATGACTAGTGTCAAAACTGAAAAATTCAGGTACTTGAACCGTTTAATGACCAGAGACTGAGCTTAAGAGTTTGGTTTAACCAGCCTCGACGTCGTAACAGAGGTTAGCCTGAAAAGTGACCCGCCTGTTTAGTTTGATATGGTCAACCTTTGCATCGTAAATTGAGAATTAAATACAATTTTGGCTGAAAAACAGGCATTTTCAAGGTTGCTGTTGCGTGAGCAACGGTCGGTTGGCAGTAGTAACTAGGTTGCAGCATTTACCTAGCTTAAAATAGTCTAACAAGACAGAGATATAAAAAAAGATATCATTTGATAAATTAATTCGCAAATTAGCGGATAATTCGAATACGGAGAAAATGCTAATGGATAACCATTATTCATTGATAACCTAATTATTTCTTTGAAACGTTAACTGTTTAAAAATTAAATAAAACAAGTATCATTAATTGGTACGAAAATATTGAATGTTGATGCAAATTTTATTAACAAATAAAAAGCGACGTAACGTAAAACACAATTTCATACCAAATTCAAATGATGAAAACTATTTTAGTTACTCATGCGATGTTTCCTTTTGATTTCATTTCATTCTATACAAGGTATGAATCGAAATTAGTGAATGACGGTGAGGCTAGAGAAAGTGAAAGGCACCTGAAAAAATGTGTATGGGTGCTAATACACGTGCACTTTCATGAGTAAGAAACAACTTTTCCAAAAAATTGTAGAAACATTTTATGTTGACATGATTAATGGTGTCATTCTGACATGAAATGGTGCAATGTGATCTTCATTCCCATTTGTTTAGACGTGATCTTGCTCGCCATATTTCTCATATATTTATTTTAGTTCTGTGAAATCCGTGCAAACGCCATTTGGCTGGAACATGAAAAAGCAGTACAATTGTAATTAGTAATTTGCGAGCAATCGCAATGAGATATTACTTACTTGTATGTAATAAGCTATTACAGTGATTAACTTATCCATGACCAAATTACAGTTGGACACTCTATGATGCCATAAACTACGGAGCGAACGACACTGGAGATGTTTGTCACTTTCGTGCCATCAAAACTTGTGACGATTTGAGCTCATCTTGCAGGAATGTGGTAAGAAATCAGCGTTTAGGGTTAATTTACGATGGTTAATATTTTGAAAAGAAAAATGAGAATTGTCTCATGACAGCAGAAATCACTTTCAATGGAAAGATTGAGTGTTCATCACTTATATAGGAACGTTTTCTGTCGCGTGATAATAGAGAGTCTTAGATCGGAACGCGCATTCAAGCAAAAACGCTTACCAGAATTCATTGAGGTTGGCACAATGTTCAAAGCAAAATTTTGTAAGTTTGTATGAATTTGCATTATGCGTTATCTGCTTTTGACAGATTTCATCGCTGAGATATAGCGGAAGTCCGTACGGCATCAACAATGACTATTACAATCTGTATGAAGGAATAAATCAACGCGGCATGGAATTCGGCGGCGAAACAGACGCTCCTCACTTAGGAGACCTGGACCTGGAAGTCTCATCCCTGGTAGTCAGCGGGCAGTCAGCATGGACGTTCTACACGTGAGTGCGAGCAGCAAGGTGAAGGCTATGTTTATTACTATTATTTATGCAAGATTATGTAGAAACCTATTGTAGTACTCGTACAATCCTCCACCAATTAATGCTTAATGGTGGAGGATTAAATAAAAATAAGGTTTAATAAAATTAATCTGCTTAATGTCTCCTTTATAATTCTAAGAAAATATTGTGACCGACAGAGGCCAGGGCTACACTGGAGCCTCTGTGTGCGTGTACACAGATACACATCTCTCTTCCAGTGGTATTCATCTCGACTACATTCAGATCAACGAGGTAGGAAAATTTAAAATAATTACAGATTTGGACGATAATTAGGATATTGTATATATGCATCACATAATAAGGTGGGAGTTAATTCGTAAGCTGCTAAATTTGAATCAAACGCAAATGAGCACTGCAAACAACTTGATTATCCTGGTAAATTATTAAATTACTCGAGGAAAGTCTCCACAATTTGTGTCATGTCGTTGTTATAGTTAAATAGAAATTATAGGCGAAACTTAAATTCATTCAGAGATTGAGAAACTCATTTATATTCATTAAATGGGTTTCCTAAAATATTTTTTCAATATCTTCTCGATTTTTGTCATTTTTTAAAATATATTAACTGATGTTCAAAAGATCTTAAGACCACATTCGACATTTATAATTTTCAACTATTTCTGAAATTTGCACGAGATCGTTTCTCTGTTTATGTAACGGAAAAACAACAGGGGTATGCGTGAAATTTAAATAACATTGGCGAACTCATGAACAATCAAACAACTACCGCAAACCATTGTCCTTGCTTATAAGATGCCTGTACGATTACTCCAGGTCATTTGTATAGCTTAAATTTATTATGCATTCTAATTTGCTGTGCAGTTAACAGAGCTCAGCCTGCCCGACAACTCCATCAGGTCTGTGAAGCGCGGCTGCCTCGCTGACCGCGTGGTGGGAGCGCCGCCCCCGTGGCCTTGAACAAAATGCAACAGCCAATCAGATGTTCCCACTTGCATGCACGCAAAAATAAAATGCTAGAAGTGGATGAGCAAGATATATATTTTCGAGTTTCGTTTGATGTATCCAGTAAAGCCTACAAATGAATTACTGGATATAATTTTGCAAAGTATCAGTTGGAGAAACATCAATGATTATGCATATTCTTTTTCATTTTTTGTTGATTACATAAGATAATAAATTGGAAAATTAATCTGATTCTTTGCTCTTTAACTCACAGATGAGCAAAAAATGTGTGTAAGTTTTTACTTGTGCTAAATCTGGTTATGACCGTTTTGCATGAAATATGGAATTTTATGTCAATTTCGGGAACAATGTTTATCGAAGAGATAATTCTGAAATATTGCTATACGTTCTTAAAATATTTTCATATAAACTATGATGCTCAATATTATTAGGACTGGAATGTTTTCACCTCATTGTACTATATCTTTTCTCATCTGGAAGCTCGTTAGTAAAGATCGGTAGCAGAAGCTTAATAATTAAGTGTCTAGGTAGACAGAGATTAGGGAGAGACTGATCACAATACGGGAGTAGATAAAGTTCATTGTTCTCGCGTACAGAGCTGGTAATGTACTGAACCTGGGAGCAAAGTTATCTGACGAGGTTGACACTGAAGATCAAAAAATCTTCATTAAATAAAAAATAATTAGTTCTCACTACTCGAGAAGATGGTTGTTGATGGCGTACATGGGCCTCAGATGAAGAGAATATAATACAGAATCATCTTTGCAGGGGCAAAATGCTTAAATAATAACTTATCCCAGCACGCATTATTAACGTACACAGAGCGCGATGTTATTTCCAGCGGAACCTATAAGGGGAACCATATTTTATTGAGAATTAGTTACTAGAAAAAAGGCTCCTAGTAGAAATACGTGCAATAAAATATGGTTTCCCTAGGTTCCCCTGGAAATAACTGTTAGAAATAAGGTTCCAATGACGTAACCATTCATTCCTTCACGAATGGAGAGCATTCATATCACGAAACTCATATACACAGTCAAGAAAATGATGTACAAGGAAAGGACATCATTAAAGATTCAAATCTTCGCATCAAACAAATTTTGCGAAGATCTAAATCGGCGAAATTCCATTCAGTGAAATAAATCATAACACTGAAGTAATATTGATAATCCTAAATTGATGTGTTAAAATGCGGGTTGCATAAATCAGATATTCGTATACATAGCTTTGTTTGTAGTATCTTAATGGCATCGTGTTCAGTTATCACTATGTAAATGATCAGCAACAGCCTTCATAATGTTGCTTGTGCGTTTTGCAGTCCGCACCAGATCTAATTTTAAACCTAAGTTATCCTCATGAAAGCTTCGTGGGTTAGAAAGACTGGAAGAGAACCGCACCTTTGACGTTTGCCAAGATTCTCGAGTTTGCGATGGAATGAAAGTCAGCCGAGGAAATAGAATATAAAATGATTCTATGTACTTTATAACAGTTTGAAATAAATTCGCATGTCATACTGCCACTCGTGTAAGCATGTACAAAATTGCTGTGCAGTTTCAGAACTTCGTCTTTCAAATTATAGTGAAATTTAAAAATTTGAATTCCAAAATTTACTCCCGAACCGTGACTCCGGCTTTTCCTTGTATCTTGTAGTCACGTCTTGTATTCGGCTCTGTCGCATGGCCGCGCAGTATATCTACAGACCCCATATACTATGCAGACGCACCCACTAGATTCATGCACTTAGCCTTCAGCTAGTTTTCACAGCACAGCAGTTTTGATCTTGGGCCCTTTGCACTTTAGTCGCTTGCTTATGTGTCTGCCCTCTGAGTGAACTGTACGCCCACGGAGACGAGGTGCAGCCTGACGAGCAGTACGCGACTTAGCTTGCTTGCATTTTCTTGGCGGTCGGCTTTGGGGAGCCGAGATTTGAAGGGAGACTGAATCGTCGCACTGAATTTAGCACTGAATTTGGCAAAGATCGTCGCACTGAATTTAGCCTTCGAAGGTGAGATCACGGGACTAAACCCGGGAGTGCTTTTTCTCAATTCAGCATGGAACTTGATTCCGATCGTCTGAGCACGTTTCAGTATATAAATGCTTCATAGTCTGATCAATTCAGCATTAAAATATATTGGAATTTTAATTTAATATATTGTAAACAAAAAACTAAGATTAATTTTTCGATAATTTTGAGTAGTTAAAGCTTTTCGGGTCATAGCCTCATTACTACTTACTCTGTACTTTACTTGGAGTGACGTGTCATGCAGTTTTAACGTGTACATTTGAGGTGAAACTAATATCGCCCGTGCTGCTTCACTTCACCCCTGTTTTGAGAATCTTCAGCAGTTCGACTCTTGACTCCATGAGAGTAACTCTCATGGTGCTACTGCGACTTCACGTCAGTTCATAATTCCTTGTGGGATCTTCATTGATACGCCACCGAGATGTACAGCCTCGAACCTGTTCTAGCATTCATGGAGTAAAATCTTAATTTGGAAGCATCGCCCGAGTACGGTTTGGATTTGGACGTGAGCATTGGGCACGCGCTGGATTTGGTGTTGTCAGCACTAAGATAACCTCCTCCGGCACTTCTGGTTACCACGTTGGCGACGACTTCGTTTTTAGCCCCGGCAACATCTGCGCGGGTGTGTATCAGCCGCTGGACCAGTTACGCACCGACGTTCACCGAGGGATTTTTTAGTACTTCAGGTACGTCACCCCACCTTCGTAGGCACGGAGTAGGCGGTGATGAGGTGCTAAATCCTGTTCCCTTTCACTTATGACCCGAATAAAGAATAAGCCCGTAACTATCAATATTGCAACTTTCCATAATACATTGAATGAATTATTAACTTTACTGCAATAATAACCTTAAAACTTATACGAAACGTGTGGTAAACCCTTTTTAAAGACTCGGGAAATCTTTTCGCTACTATGCGCAGCCTTTTCTCACCTTGCCTGGAAAAGGACCCTTTTCGCATTGAGCCCTTTTAAAGTCCGAGCATTTTTTTCGTGATCTTTGTAATCACCGTTGCGGTTTTGATTCTTCAGGATTTACGGGTTGGGCAGACGCATGCAGGAGCGAGGCGCAACTCCATTCCCTCTTCACGCATAGTGAAGTGGAGTCGCTACCGCAAATTTTGGAGGCAGTACCGAGCAAGTTTAGGGATGATGGCATTAATGCCATTCATTAATTTTTCATTAAAGAAAATACTATTTGAACATTACTTGTAATCGTGTTTTGTTTGACCTCATTTCCTTTTGATTAGTTTCCCCGCCCCCCAAAGTTTTGTCCATATTGTATGTAATATCTAAATCAATGGAATTTTCTGTGTACAGACGTGAAATGGCGCTAAAGAGGAAGGTGCCTCCATGGCAAGGAGTCTGGGTTTCTTCAGAGTTATTTAAATGTAATAAATTTGCTCTGTGCCTTGACTTTGGTCCATTATCCTCATAATTTAGTGTAAAATAGGTGTGGATAATAATTGCATACTTACTAATAAAAACCTGTGGGTTGAGGGATTTGAAGCTCTGTGTTTATTGTTATTTCTCTGTCTAGAACTTAGAAGGGCACTATATGAACACTAAAATTTGTCATATTGCAAACTAGTTACTAGAACTGATATTTTTTATAAAGTAGCTAACTTTTTTATAAACTACATTATCCGGCAGGATTGATGTTGCAACCTCCATAACTTCAATTCAAGATACTCGGCGACAATTTTTGAGTAGTGAATCGTTTTCAGGTCAATTGTGAAAGCTGCCCCATTTATTACGGCCTGTTAATTTATAGAAATAAAAGAATGTCGAAATGTTGTTATGTTTCGTAATCGACATCATAACTTGGAAGGGCTAAAACTTGAATTTCGCAATATTATCCTAATAAATTTTGAAGGAAGCGTTTTTGGCTTCGATTAAGCACAGAGATTGCAGATGATCTGCTTAATTATTTTGACTATTAATCCTATTAGGTTGACTTGAATTAGTTGTTCATCATGCGTGTTATTTTTATGTGAGGTAAATTTGTTAAGATGGCTTTAAAAAGGAGTTGCGGGTGTTATATGACTATGAAGTGATTTGAAACATTATAACAGTGACTTTAATGTTAAATAAATTTTAATTTTTAAAGACCAAAAATTCGAGAGGATAATTTCACAAACTTTTTGAAGTTCAGTTTCACGATAGAGCGAAAATGTCGTGAAAGTGCGAATAAAACGCGCCTGGGTTGATTCCACTTACATTCCAGTGTCGTTTGAAAAGTTATAAAATACGGAAATTAATAGCATATGTATAAAAATAGCCATAATATCCGTATATTAAAATGTTGTTGGTAAAAGTCATTTCCCATTTCCCTCCATCAGGAAAATAAACATGGTCCGCCTCTTATAAAAGCGAACGAGAAAATAAATAATATGAAACATTCATTAGTCTTTCGACCGAACTAACTTGTCTAGAGTAAGTTCGAATATTAATACGAATGTTAATGCAAATGTATATATGAATTTAAACGTATAATCTAAGCTTTTTAGTATGACTTTGGGAAGGTCATGCTGGAGCTTGCGTGCGTCAACCGAAACAGATGTGAACACTTGTTCGTTTTATGTTTTGAATAGAAGTTCGATCCTCACATTTTTATTCTACAGACAAATGCGATCTAATGAGTGACCCATTAGTCTGAGTGTCAGAAACTCTGAATTATATCGTCAAATTTTAAATACTAATTGCAGAGCACGAAAATATCGAAACGAACGTGTAGTCTAGCATGAGTACGATCGATCGGCACTGCTGGCCATGTTCCAACTCAACTTATGATGAAAGAAACCAAAAAATTTTTATGTGAGAAACAACGTAAAAAAAATAAATTTTAAATGCTAAATACAAGGAGGAGATCGAAGGAAGATAAGGTGACCCTTCAGCCTGGCCTTCCTTTACTTCATACTTAATTAGAATTTATGCCGGTCAAATAGGGCCTGGGTCTGGGGCTTTAATGTGTCTTACTGTAACTGTC